ATAATTCCGTGGTGACGTGCCTACGCGTCGCATCGGCACTCAACGGCGATGTTATTAAGTTACGCGATGAACGCGGCACAGCGCGAGAATCGATGGTTCACCTTTTTCGCCGACATAGTAAATAATCTCGCGTTATCGCGCGACGAGTTCAAACGATAATAGCGTTGATTCCATTAATGAATGCTAATCGTGATAAGATTTCAGGTAACCAAACCACAGTAACAAATCCCAAGTAATACCCAAAGTCTCTGATCGCATAATTAATTCCACATTCGTATTCATACACCGTTCTTTGGCTATCAATATCTCTAGTCTTTATTTGTTAAAAAATGACGAATTCGGAATACCGGTTAAAATTTCGATTGGAACATCTCCTCATTCTTGATAAATTTGTAAACATCGATTAAAATCGGAAATCTGCTCTGCAATAAATAATCTGACATACTTGAAAATATATAATGCGCGCTGCCCACGTCCTGGCTTCTCAATGCAGCATTTTGTCTGCTGACTGCTGCGTTGTGGAGCTCTGGATATTCATTCGTGGCACTGATATTGACACTGACACTGTCACTGACACTCGCGTAGACGCGACGAATTGATAGGAGAAACGCGTGTTAATCAACGACGAGAATACCGACGAGAGCCCGAGATTAAATAATACAAAAGTCGACGAATTATTTTAATTACTTAATTATTTAACGTGCGTGACGGAAACGTTAACTAATGCGTTCACCGATACACGTACGATACATACGATAGTGTGTGCGCGCCAGCGCGTGACGTAATAATATAACTCCCGGCCGTGGAAAAGCACGAGACGCGCGTTCCAGAACAATCGGCGCAAAAAGAGTAAACACTTATCTTCTCGCATCAGCAGTCGCCAAGCGTCGTCTGCTCGCCGCATACAGCCGCGAGATCATAACAATCAACACATCCAAAACATATCGACCTTCATGGCGGGTAAGCTTATCCTCATGCGTCTCACGCTTTTCCGAATGTGTCCATTATGTCTCAGGGTATCGAATAACACGTGTACCGTATGCTTTGTATGTACGTGGCCGGTGCGTTAAAGTTGTCGTTTCCGCCGGACGATTTAAATATTTTCTCGGCTAAATATTCAATCGCATAGATTATTAACGGCATCGTGTTAATTAACACACATTTCTCTGATTGATTCGTTATATTTACGCGAGTGTCTGACGATATTTATGCTAATGTTGGTATCACGGCGGTACAAGATATAGAATCGGGAAATCAGGGCGGAGGAATCAGGACGTCGAGCATCATGCGTCTCCAGGTGTGTCAAATTGTTTATTACACAGAAAATTTCCGATTTTAAACGACTTTTGCCGAATTTATAAAAAATAAGGAGATATTTGAAGCGAAATTTAGGTCGACATTTATGATTTTCATATTAATAGTAGTTACTTGTCTCATATGAGATACTTAGATTTAAATTCAAAGTTAAATCTGACAATTTAAGTTAAATTGTACGATGTATAGAGCTCATGAAATTAAACAAAACAATCCTGTATCATTTTGTAAATAATACTATAATTATTCCTTCACTTTGATCCATAGAAACTATATTCATCTCGTCATTGTTACAACAGACGAGACGAAAAAACAGATCTGAACATGATCTGAATTTGATCGCGAATGAGAGAGATTGCGCGTTGCTCGTGTGCTCATTTGTGCTGTATTTTAATCGATTATATCACTCGACTCTTCGAAGTAGACAATAAAAGAGTGGTATAAACGCGCGTGGGAATGCGTGCGAAAGAGATTGCTTTTCATTTCATGTCGCTACGTCGATTCGTTCGCAAGTTACAGTCGTTTCAAGTCGCGGCATCGACATCAAATTTCGGCTCGAAAAGCCGGTGCGCTATTATTCTCTTTTAAAGTGAGTTGAATGACCGCAGTGAGCAAGTGGGCGGAGCTATGCTTATCTGAGCCGCAGAGTGGGGATAGTAAGATAGATCGCGGCACACTTTCACTTACGGCGTAGAGGTAACTTACCGGAAATAACAGCATTCCATTCTCGCGTCGCGTCGCGCATCTGTAGCTCGCAGCAGCGATAACGCCGGCCGATCGAAAACGCGGATCAGTACAATCGTTAATAACTCGGCTTGTAGGCGTCGTAGTGACTCGAAACAAAAATCATTAGAAAGAGAAAATTGCCGCGCTTCCGATGGACGTGAAGTCGTCTTTCTGCGATATAAGGGTCAAATTGCATGTAAGTACGAAAGATATTGTTCTTCGTGTTGAAGTGAACACTAATTATCAATTTAGATTTTAAGAATCAATAGGAAACTTTGATTCGGATTCGCAATGCAAAGCATCAGTTTCATGTTTTTGACGGCTAAATGCAATTTAAACAAAAATCGAAATGGTAATAATTGAAACTTTCTATTTAGTAGCGAATTTTTTGCCGTAGCGTCGAATTTCAAATAATGAATAAATTTAACTCCGATAGCAATGATATTAGCTGTTTTCACTTTAACGACGTATCTTAGCTGTCATAGATACATTTTCGCTCTTGCAGCTTGACAATTATAGCTCTATGAGTCGCTGATTATTGATTATTGATTATTGACATATCACGTAATTGTATAATTAACGTATCAATTCTTAATTATTGATTTCGTAATTATGTAATTAATATATCGTTTATTGAAAATAAAAGCAATGGTTGCGTATAAGATAAAATATTGAAATAACCATTAAATAGTCTTGAAATAAGTCTTTAAGGACAATTTTAACACAAAAAAAATGACAGTAATTAATCTTTTTGCTCGATTACTCGTACATTTTCACTTTATTTGCTTTATTTGCGTTCTTCTTCTACTTGTTATGTGTCTATTATTGATCTGTTGTATTAATCATGTAAATTTCTACATAAACATCTTCAATTTTATCTCGCTGGTGTCCATGAGCACAGGAATTCGCGCAAGCTCTATTCGATGGAGTCCGTTTTAATTAAAAATAACGCGCGGTCCGATTAACTCCGGTGCCATGTGCGCTGCCTGGCTCACGTGCGTGTCCTACGTGCTTTTACGACACGGAGTTATTGCTCGCCTCGCTGTTTATTAAATTGAATTGTGTCGCACCGCATCGTTGTCACCCCATGGCAGTTCTTACCCTTTATCGGGGGCCCTCTCTCTGCCGTCCCATTACCACTCGCAATTAAGTTAACAGCTCATTAAGGAGCCGCGAGCACGATTATTCGCGCGCCTATCAAAGGGCGACCTACCGGTCAACTCGATACGATATGATTACCGTCGCCTTCATAACTCATGGCTTTCCACGAAAGGCTGATATGAGCTGCAAATGGTTATCTCGAAAAAAATCAATAATTTGAGTAAGAGGAAACTTTGAGAAAGGCTTTAACGTGGAAAAAGCTGGGATCTCTTGAAGATATAGTTTAAATATAGTTTAAATATTCTTTAAATATGATAAGTAAAAGTGGAATAGTAAAAGATTTCCTCATTCCAAATTATTCTCATTCAGAGATGGGAGGTAACATGAGAAACTGTCAAAGTGGAACTAGAGTTGGAAAGATTATTTTTTAAAATTGAGTTATTTCTTCTTAAATATAGTTTTATTCGAACCCGTTATTGTTATCGTTATTAACGGAACAACATAAAAAATAATTTAAGAGATAGTTACTGAAAAAAATAATTTATAACGGTAAACGGCATTGTAAACTATTTTCTTCTTCCGTGCTTCTTAAATTATTTTCACCTTATTTCGTTAATGACGATAACGAAATCGAATAAAACCATACTTAAAAAGGAAGCAACTTGACATTAAAAATAACCTTCCCAAGTTCCACTTTAACAATAGTTTCTCCGAGACAAATTTAGAAGCACTTTTCGACAAAGTTAATTTCGATGAAACCGATTTTCTCTCTGACGGGCCTCTTCACTCCTCTCCTCTCCCGTGGAGCGCGACGTCGCGCATTTCGCGAAATTATCGATCACGGATCGATACCCCGGAATAATCGGCGGCGAAAGCTCGCGCTTCGCCGGTGCCGGCCGGCCGACCGGGAGAGAGCAACCGGCGTGCGCTCGATCTCGAGTCGTCGGGACAACTACTAATAGGATTTTCGTGATCGAGTCCGTCGGCACTTTCGACCACGCTCGCCGTGTCTCATTCCCATAAGAGCCGCGCATATCATCTACCTACGTGCGCTCTAGCGACGGCCACGGTTGCGCTGGATCGTGCATCCACCGTAACTCAGATCCGCGCTCCCCACGTTGACCTCAAAGATGCATCGGTCTCGTCGTTGCAACATGCATGTTACAGAATTTGCGTAATCACGTATCATCGGATCTCGTCGTTCCCCTCACCTCCAGCCACTCCTCCTTCGGCCTGCGTATCCCTTTGGTTCGCGTTCCCTTCCGATCGCGCTACGCAATTCTGCCGTTTCACGCGTGTGAGTGGGTGTGTGTGTGTGTGTGTGTGTGCGCGCACACTTGCGTTCGTGTTCGCGCGTCGAAACGCCTATCCGGCAACGAGAGAGAAACTTAACGAGTTACTCTTGTAAGGTATTAGTCCTGTCGCGTTCACGGTTGCTCGTACACGGCTGCTCTATCAATAAGAATCTGCATGCCGTCCGCATTCGTGCGGGATCTTGACTCCGGCGTGAGCCTACGCGCCTTTTACGCTTTGTCGATCGTCGATCGTGCGCGGCGCTATCTTCCGCGATCGCACCGCGGCTATTGTGGCGCTTGAATTAACGCGAACGTCCGTGGAAAAGGTAATCTCTCGTCGTTGTCGACGAGAGACGCTGCTTGATGTTTTCATATCGGGAGATCGGCCTCGCGATACTCGATCGTAATCGGTGCTTGATGGAGAAAGCCGCGTCGACGCGGTCGAGTTCGGTCGCGGGAAATTTACCGTGGAACGAAAAAAAAAAAAGAGAAAAAAGGAAAGAGAGAAACGGTAAAACGTGTATTTTAAGGGAGATTGATACGAGCGTTCTGTTTTCTTCTCAGGTTGCAAAAGTTTCTTCAAGAGAAGCGTCAGGCGGAACCTGACGTATTCGTGTCGAGGGAGCAGGAACTGTCCCATCGACCAGCATCATAGGAACCAGTGCCAGTTTTGCCGCTTGAAGAAGTGCCTGAAGATGGGCATGCGCCGGGAAGGTATGCACTGTACTGAACCCTTCTTACGGATTTATTAGCGTTAGATTTCGCCGGGTGATCCCATCGAGAGCCGCCTCAATAGTGTCGCACATGTGCGACGGAAGCTCCTCGAGGAAACATTGCAAGCGCCGATCACTTCTCTTTTAAGAGGGAAGGGGCGAATGCCGTTAAAATCGACGAAATCCTCTGTTTGATCGAATATTTAACGAAGTAGTTATGTGTGCTATTTTCTTATATCAGTTTATTTATTATATAGTTGTATACAATTTTGTTGCATCGGACAACTTTTCCTTAGAGATAACAAGAGTTTGCACAAATTCGCATCTCCTAGTAAATCCGACGTTGAATTTTTTTCGGACGAAAGATCGACTCCGAGTTTTTCCAAGTCATTAGTTGGAATCAGATTCTGATTCGAGACAAGAGTTACTGCGAAAAGGAATATCACTTTGGCGCATGCAATATTTTTTCCGGGGATCTGATTGCTCATTGTATCGCGTTTGCGGGTCATTTGCAACAAGAAAACGGGAAGTCGTCGTGACGAGGCGATGTTTCTCCGGTATATAGAACGGCGCCTTGAACGAAGGTTTAAAACGGCATAATGGATACACACACTTGCCGAGCGTTGGGGTCGAAGTGCACGACGGCGAAGACGTCTCCGTTTGTTCGTCGCGTTGTTCTTCGGGAAGACACGCGCGTTTTGCGATTCGATAACTGCAGAGTGATTCGTAATGCCAAGAGCGAGGTGTACTCGGCGCGATTTCATTTCCTGGTCGCTCGCCGTGAACGAGCCTTCTCACGACTGTCTGGTTCCGATATCTGGAGAAACATCGCGTCGGCGAGGTATATCGGTCCGATGATAACGTTCGCGCGATGCGACTCGCTGTGATCACCCGTTAAACTTTCCGTCGCACGGCCTTCAAATCGAACTCTCGTGATGCCCCGATATCACGTTTGTTGATATTCGGTCGAGCTGCGGTATTTACATCATTCTACTTGTTATTCATATTAATGAACATTGCGTATAGGAAGATGTGCAATTGCCCCCATAAAGGTTGACACAATTTTTTAAATATTGTACTGCTGCATTTTTAACGGATAAAAACGGGAGGATTTTATAAGTTTCTAGTCTGTCATTTTTTTATTAATCCTCCGTGTACAATCATATCTTTTGGGACATACAGTGTAATTTGGTCTGTTAGACCCGGGTAATTTTGAGTTATCATAACTTTGTTGAAAATCTATATTTTGAGATATATTCTTTTAGAAGTATAGACTCAACTATAAGATGATAGTTCGATGAAATTAAAATCTGCAAACAAATTTGCGTTATTCTGAAATTTTCCAGGACTTTTATGAAAATTAATGAGCGAACGAATATTTGTTTATCAATGCCGAATTTAAATATTAAATTTTCTTTGATTCACTTGAGCTGTTCTATTTTTTTAACTCAACGAATGCAAATTACATATATTTGGTATTCTATTTTCCAAAGTTCTTAAAACACCAGCAATAAATAGAAAAGAAATCTAGATATGTCTATTGAAAAAAACTTCAAGAACCGCGCGATCATTTTGAATCACTACTGAAGAGGTCATAAAAAATCTTGTGTCCCGTAATAGTTCACTAAAGAGTTGAATATTGTTTTCTAAAATTGCGTATATCGAAAACAAAGTGTATGTCAACCTTCATGTGGACTCAATCGTACAACTTCACGCATGATACGTAAGTATTCACTTGTTATTCCATGGATACGTGGAAAATTTACGCCTGTGAAAAATTATGTTTACGAAACTTTCTGAAATACCACTCTACTACGAGTCCAAATTCTCCTCAAACTATATCAGCCGTATCCCCGAAACCGTTGAATGTACACGCGTTCCTTACGAGAAGAGGTGCTTTCGGCAAGGTCCATACCCAAAGACAGTACCTGCGGCTCTCGGCGCGCTTCGGCGCGTTCCGCCGCGGCTTGAAACTTTTTAATTGCGGCTACCCATGGAAAGGCCGGAAAGGTTCCCACGCCTTATCCCCGCCCGCGATTCCACGTTCCTCCGCTCTTGAACTTGGCTACTCGCGGCGCGCCGATAACATCTAACCTTGTTCCGCCGCGCTCACGAGGAGAAGAGGAGGCGCGCGCTGGTCATCGGCTGTCTCGGGCTGGCCAGATGTACGTAGCCACTTCCGTCCGAGACATGGCCGTTCGTCCGTCCGTCCCGAAGCGCACCCGCGCCCGTAAACCCGCGGTAAATCGTGCGTTTTTACGCGAAGCGGACGCACACGTCGACGAGAGAAACGCGGATCCATCTCCGACGCCGCTACCGTTGAGAGGAAAACCGCGGCATGGGACTTCGCGAGCGAATTAACAGAAATTATTGCCTCCTCCTGAGCTAGCGTCTCGCGTCCTTCCACATCCTTCAGGCTGGAGACATTAGAATGGCTAATCGAAAGATCAGAAAGATCAACGAAAGCGAAAGTCGATGTCTATCTTAGTCCGCCACATAGTCTCGCGGGAGATACTTCAGTACTTATTCCACTTAATCCCTTCTCTGCAATGACTCCACTCTATTGCATTAATTAATTAAAGAATACTATACTGATGGTCGCGATGTCTTCATGTTGATATCAAATCTCGTACATAAAGGGTTAATTAAGAGGCGCTTAATGTCCACCTGCGCGTTTCGAAAGCTATCATCGCCGCTGCAATCTCGAAACCATCGTTCTTTCTCTCCCCTATCTGGCTCCCCTCGCTCGCGACTACCCAGTTCATGTATTCCCGAACGACCGTTGTTGCACTTCGCGAAAGAAGCTCGCGCACGATTATTCGCACGAGACCCGTCGGCGGCGGCGACGGTTCGCCCGCGGCGCAATTTTTCCCACAGGAACGTACACGAGAAGCGCGGAGAAGACGTCGCGTTTTCTGCCCTGTCACAGCGACATCCGCCCATTATCCGCGATGATGCCCCGGTCTTTGATAATAATTCGAGTCGCTCGCGCGGGGCACGTAACTCTGTATACACTCACCTGGCCTCAGCCGTATATACGCTCGCACGAAAGGCGCACGGCGGAAAGGAAAGAGAGAAAGAAAAAGGGCAGAGTAGGCGGGAGGAGGGTAGGGGAAAGGGGGCAGGCGGAGGAAGCGGCAGGAGAAGAAGAAGAAGAAGAAGAAGAGGAGGAGGAGGAGGAGGAGAAGGAGGAGGAGAAAGGAGAGAAGAAGAGTGCGCGAAGGGCGGATGGCCGCGAGGAGGGCGGGAGGGGGACAAGACGGGGGCAAGAGGGGTTGCCGGCAGCGACGGCAGGAGCTGCAGCAGCAGCAACGGCAACGGCAGCAACGGGAGGAGGACGGAGGTCGAGGAAGAGAGCAGGAGGACGGGAGGGAGGGAAGACTGGAGGAGAGAGGACGACGGCGCGGCGAAGGGGCATGGGGAGGGGGGAAGGGGGAGGCAGAGGAGGACTAGAGAGGGAGAGACGATGGTCCGAGGTCAGCGGGGTGCATGACCTTACCTCGGGGGCCCCTTCCTTCCGTGGGGCCCTCGAGGCAGACAGGATGCGCTGAAGATTACCCCGTAGATACTGTCCGCGATGATTACAGAAATCTAGGAAGCCGCTCAATTTAATTAACCCTTAATTGCGAGCGCTCGGGACGGGATGGTGCGTTTATACTCCGGGACTGGCGCTTTTCCCCCGTCCTTCTTGTCTATTCGAGGATGATGATTATGATGATGATGACGATGATGATGATGGTGATGGTGCCTGTGTATGTGTTTGGCGTGTATGTTTGCGCGCGCAACGATGCGTGAATTATCGCCTCGCGAACTCGTGCACTTTCCTCCAAAAGCGAGATCGAAGGGATACGCGGTCACGCCGGGAGTCCTGACCCAAACGCCGTAGCATCCATCTGAGACCCTATTCTAGACGTGTGCCGCGCGCTAAATGTGCCTTCTGACCGACTGAAGCAACGTTATATGTGACGTTCGTATAAGAAAAATGGGACTTGAAATTAAAAGGACATCCGTCCAAAATAATGTCCGGAATAGGTCATTCTTGTAAGCCTATTCTAAAGCTTTTAACGACAGTATAATGATTATTATTACGCAGCTTTTCTGTCGTATATTGTATTTATGCAACGACAACATATTGATGATGACTTTACGGTTGAGAAAGTTATAGAAAGACCTAAAGAAAGATATTAACAAGTCCTTTGGTCGAAACTAACGGGTTTTACGTTAGAATTGGTTTATTCACGATTCTGTGAGGCGAGCTTTGCGAAAATAATTTCACGCGAGGTCTCTATAATAATCTGGAGAGGATATCCTTCTCAGTATGTTAATACGTGGCTTTTAGCGCATTTAAATTACGCTTCGCGTATCTTGCTAGTCCCTCGCACAATGCATTTCCACGCAACGCGATTCGTCGTCTCAAGTTTGTCGAATTCACCACGACGCAACTTATCGCGGGAAAGGGTACATATGTCTTGTTAGTCGATTTTTTCCGCCGCGTGAGTACGGAATTGAAGATTAGCTTTATCACGTTGAGCACTCTTCAGTTGGTCGCGTAGCTATCGAGTGTACCAATCGCGATGCGCCGATAGCACTCGCGACTGGAAGGCTCCGTTACGTACTTAATACGCTCGTTAAAACGAGGAACTTAGAAACGCATTCGTTCAGCGGCGCGCACGTTTCTCCGTAGCCGCAATAAATCTGTACTGTTTATTTTACAAGCCACAGCTGTTAGTTCGCGCCTCTTCGGTACCTTTGCTTAGAAGAGGGAAAAGGAGAATAAAAAGAACGGAGGAAGAAAGGTGAAGTAGAAGGGAAAAAGAGTATCAGCGTTTGTGATATCCCATGTGTCAAAATGGCTGCTTCGCTGTAATTTATACACGCGTGCGCGAAGCAATTAACCCATTTACGCTTGAGCGTGTTTCCATTGCGCGTATATTCCGATAAAATAATGCCGAAAGAATTGCCGACGTGTGTAAACGCGTGAAAAATTATATTCTCGATGTCCCGATTTTC